GACACACGCGGACACACACATACATACATACACATGCATACATACATACAAATATATGCGCACTTAAACGTGCAGACACATGATATATGTATGTACACGTACTTCAATCAGCTGCAGTTCATAGCTGATACAACAATTATGCTGCTGGCAACTTTCCAGTTTTCCTCACCGGTGCTATATTTTCAGCTAATTGAGCACCTCATTTTTTAAGATAATTTCATCTTCAAATATAAATGTATATCCAAAAATACTAATTTTCCATTTTATGCATATTGGTACTTTATATTTGCTCAGTGGAAGGAGGTATAAATATTTAATGAAGCATTTTACAGGTCGAAATTACTGGTGTTTTTCGTGCTCTGGCATTTGTTGCTGCCTCATTGCTATATCTCATCTATTCATCGTGCATTATTGACAGCTATGTGGATTGGCCTTACTTGGGGTCCTTTTTTGTGGCGCAATCATTTCGATTTAATCATTACTTCGTGAGTTGGCTCTCTGCGGGTACATCGATGCTGGGCGGTGTCGATTCGGGTGTCGTCGCTGACTGGATTCGCATCGAATGGCCAAGATCACTGGTGGATGTCGTCGTTTCGTGGAACATTCCAATGCATCTCTTCCTTCATCATTGTACGCTTGATGCGATCGTTTAAAGTATCAAAATTAATGCTATTTCAATGGGAGACATTCAGCCACTGTCTAAGTGACAGTATGCCAGCAGCTTGCACCTGCTAACAAGTGCCCCGGGGATTGTGAGTGGTTCATCTGGCATCTTAGCAACCAGAGAGGAAACAGTAAATCGTGGAGAGACTGGTTCCCTCATCAATGGGTTTGGATTATCGGTTTCAAAATTGAACAGGATGCATTAATCGACACCTGAAACCGGCCAACACGTGAAACTCGGAAAAACGACCGGGCTTTATGCAAAAAACTGAAAATCATGCACGCTTAGGTCCATGTGGCCCCATAATGCAACACCTTGGTCTCAACCGACGTCTTTTCCCCCTGCATGCGAGAAAAGATGAAATCATCAGAAAATTAGCTATCATATGAGCGAATTTGACTGTCATTCTTTCTCTTTAATCCCTCTCTGTTTTTTACGCATCCTTCCCTCATTCGGATTATATTTATTTGATATTATTTGCTAAGGTGCTTAATAGGTTGAGCAGAATTAACGCTCTTCCAAAAGTAGATGTTAGGTAAGAAATATTAAAGACCGAAATCTAACGTGTGGAATTCATGTTTTAGCTGAGATTACGACGTTTTCAGTCATTAAGGTATATAAATTTTAACTCAGCGGCGCAATTAGATATTTATAGGAGCTTATACTATCCACTTATGCATTCGTTTACTTTCATAAATGTTTAATTTACTTTTACACAGATGTTTTCGCTGAAATTCGGAAGTTCGGGTCTGCACTTGCAGTCTTTATCACGTATGCAGTGAGCTCTCTTCTACATGTAAGTTTATTTCTGAAATATTAATTTGAAATAGTTGCTAGAGACATCTTCCTAAGAACTAACCTCTTGAGATAGTGTTTGGAAATAATTTGTGTAAATTTGTGGAATTTGTTTTAAATTGCATGCTAGTTTTCGCTACAAAAGGCTAACATTCTCAGGTATTATGTAGAAGGGTTTACGCGAGAGCGTTTGACGAGCTTAGCGATGGCAAACAAGCAAGTTTTGACGAAGTAAAACCTATTACATTACTACTGATGCCTGCCTTTTTCCATATGCGCGGTATAAATGTGCGTGACAGCTGAATTTGAAATCTTTAGCTCCTATTTTCGGGGGGCCGTACATGAGATCCAGAGGTGTATGAGCGAAGATTTTAAAATCTTAGAGTGACACTCGTTGTCAGATGAAGTTTAGTGTGAATAATATTGCAGGGTATCAATTTCCAGTTGTCCGCAGTGCTGCTTTCTTTGGGTTTCTACACATACGCAGAAACAAGTAAGTCTTGACTTTTAATTATTCACGGCTTCTTTAACCAAGCAGAATGCATGAAATAGCAGTTACACTCGATGGTAGGAAAGGACAAGAGCGCAGAAACAGCACCTGCTCAAAGCAAAAAAGTAAATATAGGTGGGCTTAGATGAGAATTTTTCCACTACGGGAGTGTTATTAAGCTAACCAAGACTGCCAGGACAATCGTGTTGGGATCTGATGTTAATTATGTTGCTGGATAACCCTCAACCGCGAAAACAGCTCAGGGAGATCCTTCAGTCCCGAGATGCATAACTCCAATTAGTACCCATGGCTTCTTCAAGTTGTGTGAGCCACCTCTTTGGAGATGCCACTTACTAATACACGATATTCGCTGGCTGTCATCAAAACAAGCAACATATTCTGCCATTGGATGTGGTCCGTTATACAAAGGATCCGAATACTTATGTGAAATTTCACAGAAATTTATTGTAGGATTTCGCAGCAAGCTGAGCAACCGCATAAAAGCTTGTGTTCGTGCAAAGAAATGTCGCAGCAAATGCGAGCACAAATGGAAAGAGGTCTTTTATTTTGAACATTCTAAAAATACTTGTGTTAAAGACACCGCAACTTTAAAGTTAACTTGCTATACTTAGTGGCGTACCCGTATGTGGGTGTGTGTATGTGTGAGTGTACGAAACGCCTAGTGATATATATATATATATATATATATATATATATATA